GTTTCTTTAGGCCGATACGCTCCTTCAAATTAAAATGTTATCTTATTACTACTTTGTAATGTCTTTGTATCATAAATAGTGTTGAAATTTTCTATTCTGATACACAGATTAGATTATTTACAATCAATTATCTATAGTGAGTTTCTTTTAAAAAGCAGCAAGACCAAGATTAGTTTCAAAATAAGAGCATTAAAGAACCAAACAAAAAAGGTGAGTAGTGAGCTGAAAAGTAATATGTTTAATGAATAAAGCTATTTCATGTGAAGAAACTAGGGAGAACTACAGAAGAGAGAAGAGATTTGTGGAATCTAATTGCAGATAATAATCTCAGCATGAATGGTCAGAATGGCCTTACCTTTGTAATAGAAAATGAAAATTCTGAACCTACTCTGATGCTAGAGAATTGCCAAAAATATTATTTAGCTTTAGGGATCTCATTATGAACCTTCCAATTCTCATAATTAAAATAATAAAAGTGATCATCAGAAAGTTCTCACAGAGATCAACATTTACACACGGTCAGGACTGCAAGGAGATCCAACCAGTCCACCCTAAAGTAGATCAGTCCTGGCTGTTCATTGGAAGGATTGATGTTGAAACTGAAACCAATACTTTAGCCGCCTGATGCAAAGAGCTGACTCATTTGAAAAGATCCTGATGCTGGGAAAGATCGAGGGCAGGAGGAGAAGGGGATGACAGAGAATGAGATGGTTGGATGGCATCACCGACTCAATGGACATGGGTTTGGGTGGACTCCAGGAGATGGTGATGGACAGGGAGGCCTGGTGTGCTGTGGTCCATGGGGTCGCAAAGAGTCAGACACGACTGAGCCACTGAACTGAAACTGAGAAGTTTTTTCTTCTTCTTTGACATGAGGCAAGAAAAATAATTATTAGGTGAATCCAGATGTTCAATTTTAAGATATTGTAGGCAGCCAGTAAACATTACACTCTGTTATGATGTAGCAAAAATCAAATGGACGCTCCCTACCAAGATACGTGCATGTGTACCAAGTTGCTTCAGTCATGGTCTACGCTTTACAACCCTATGGAGCCCACCGGGCTCCTCTGTTCGTGGGATTTTCCAGGCAAAAACACTGGAGTAGGTCCCCACACCTTCCACCAGGGGATCTTCCTGACCCAGGGATTGAACTAGCGCCTCTTATGTCTCCTGCGTTGGCAGGCATGTTCTTTACCACTAGCACCATCTGGGAAGCCCATGTGCAAAGATGTTTGATGCCAAATTGCTGAGTTATCCATAAACACATGGAGGATTTGATTTTTAATTATTATTCAAATCAAAATTATTCTGATGCCCATAATTCTTTTTGAACTTAAAAGTCAAAAAACAACAGATTTCTTGATCAGAAGAAATCTGTTTAATTTTCACATCTCGCCTTGCATCAGAAGAAACCTGTGTAATTTTCACATCTCACCTTGCATCACATTCCCTCCTGTCCACTGATTATTCTGACCTTCTTCTATTCAAGCTGGCTTGTACCTTATAAGTTTTTCACAAACTTTTCAGTAGTCCCTTGAAATGCTCTTCTCACAGATGTGTTTAAGGATGATTCTATCTCATCATTTAGGTCTCAGTTTAGAAGTAACCTCTCAGAAAAGCCCCACGGTCCACCTAACTAAAGTTGTCTGGTCACATAGGCACCATTCCATTACAGTTTCTGACAATCTGTTAACACTTCATGACTTTCTTTTCATTTCTATGTATTGTCTCCTGCACTAGAATGTCTCCTGTACTTTCTCCCAAGGTAAAAGAGAAGCATCACCTTATTCATGACAGGTGTCCCTGATTGGACACCTCATACAATGTAACCAAATATTCTTCAGTAAATAAATGAACCTCAAAGTTTTCAAAAATAGTTGATAACTAACATGAAATATCTACTGTACACATGATTTGTGTATAAAAATAAATACTGCATATTGGGTTATCATTACCATCTTTTTAAATTCCATATATATGTGTTAGTATACTGTATTGGTCTTTATCTTTCTGGCTTACTTCACTCTGTATAATGGGCTCCAGTTTCATCCATCTCATTAGAACTGATTCAAATGAATACTTTTTAAAGGCTGAGTAATATTCCATGGTGTATATGTACCACAGCTTCCGTATCCATTCATCTGCCGATGGGCAATATGCAAAACAAAAAAGAGACACAGATGTACAGAACAGACTTTTGGACTCTGTGGGAGAAGGCGAGGGTGGGATGTTCTGAGAGAAAGCATTGAAACAAGTATACTATCAAGGGTGAAACAGATCACCAGCCCAGGTTGGATGCATGAGATAAGTGCTCGGGGCTGGTGCACTGGGAAGACCCAGAGGGATGGGATGGGGAGGCGGGGGGGATCAGGATGGGGAACACATGCAAATCCATGGCTGATTCATGTCAATGTATGGCAAAAACCACTACAATATTGTAAAGTAATTAGCCTCCAACTAATAAAAATAAATGAAAAAAATACTGGCTTAAGTATTGTCTTTGCTTTAAATACTATGACTGATATTGTAACTATTTCTATCATATATACTATATATTTTTAAAGCTAAGAAAACTATAACAGAATGCTAATTTAGTCTAAGACATTAGATTTCCCATATGCTAGGTAAGGGAGACTTTTTAAAAGATATCAGTGTTTCTCTGCTGCTGCTGCTGCTGCTGCTGCTAAGTCACTTCAGTCATGTCTGACTCTGTGCAACCCCATAGACGGCAGCCCACCAGGCTCCCCTGTCCCTGGGATTCTCCAGGCAAGAACGCTGGAGTGGGCTGCCATTTCCTTCTCCAATGCATGAAAGTGAAAAGCGAAAGTGAAGTCCATCAGTTGTGTCTGACTCTTCGTGACCCATGGATTGCAGCCCACCAGGCTCCTCTGTCCATGGGATTTTCCAGGCAAGAGCTGGAAATGTCTCTCTAGTGACAGACAAAGTAAGATCTGGAGGAAAAGAAATGTCATTTGAATTTTAAAATCCAGCTCTATGATGTAACAGCAAGAAAAATTTCCCCACATTTAAAGAAAAATTTAGACCTTTACAGAGTTACTTTTTTTCATAAAGGCCATAGCTACGGACACTAGATTCTGAAGTATCTTGACTCCCAGTGTGAGTGATTCTTATTCTGCTTCTCTAAAGGAGAAATAATAGCAGCAGAGAATTTGGCAGTGCTGTATTCCTTATTAAATAGTAAAGTACTGAGTACAGTACTAATCTGAAATTGTGTTTGCTTCCAAAAGTTTCCAGAAAAGACACTTGGAAACATGCAAACCAGATAATTCTAGCTCCTATATTGTATATACACACACACACACACACACACACATATATATTCACCTCTACTTTTCGATATTAATTTGTAATATAAAAAAACAAGTTACTTTTACACTTATATTCATTCAAAGATATTTATTAAGCACCTACTAGCTTACTGACAGTGTTCTATCCATAGCATGAAGCAATAAACATAATCTCTGACCTTACAAGGATTACAAATTTGTTTGAAGGAAAAGGTAAAATAAAAACCAAGAAATAATTTTTAAAGTATAGTTTGTGACTTTGATACTAAGGATATAATCAGATGAAGAGTTAAATAGTAATCTAGAAGAATGGCTAGAGAAAGTCATCAGGGAAAACTTGTCTAAGGAAATGAGAGTTCATCTAAAAGGGGAGGGGGGGAATGAGATAGAGACAGAGAAGAAAAACTCTGGGAAAGAGAGTTTCAGGAGTAAGCAGAGTAAGAAAAGCAAAAGCCCCAAACTGGAAAAGGCTTGAATTACTCAAAAGGCAGGATAAAAAAATAGAGAGAAAGAGAAAGTGGCCAGAGCCTTGTGAGAAAGGGAATGGAGCCCAAAATGCACTGGAGAGGTGGGGAATAACAGGATTACAGAATCTTCACCTGATTTGCATGATTAAATGATGCCAGTGACTGCTGTATCCTCAATAGATAGGAATTAATAGGAAGGTAAAGGCACCCTGTATGCAGGTCGGGAAGCAAAAGTTAGAACTGGACATGGAACAACAGACTGGTTCCAAATAGGAAAAGGAGTACGTCAAGCCTGTATGTTGTCACCCTGCTTATTTAACTTATATACAGAGTACATCATGAGAAACGCTGGCCTGGATGAAGCACAAGCTGGAATCAAGATTCCCGGGAGAAATATCAATAACCTCAGATATGCACATGACACCACCCTTATGGCAGAAAATGAAGAAGAACTAAAGAGACTCTTGATGAAAGTGAAAGAGGAGAGTGAAAAAAGTTGGCTTAAAGCTCAACATTCAGAAAACTAAGATCATGGCATCCGGTCCCATCACTTCATGGCAAATAGTTGGTGAAACAGTAGAAACAGTGGCTGACTTTATTTTTCTGGGCTCCAAAATCACTGCAGATGGTGACTGCAATCATGAAATTAAAAAATGCTTACTCCTTGGAAGGAAAGTTATGACCAACCTAGACAGCATATTAAAAAGCAGAGACATTACTTTGTCCACAAAGGTCCATCTAGTCAAGGCTCTGGTTTTTCCAGTGGTCATGTATGCATGTGAGAGTTGAACTGTGAAGAAAGCTGAGCGCCGAAGAATTGATGCTTTTGAACTGTGGTGTTGGAGAACTCCTTGAACTGCAAGGAGATTCAACCAGTCCATCCTAAAGGAGATCAGTCCTGGGTGTTCATTGGAAGGACTGATGGTGAAGCTGAAATTCCAATACTTTGGCCACCTCATCCGGAGAGCTAACTCATTTGAAAAGACCCTGATGCTGGGAAAGATTGAGGGCAGGAGGAGAAGGGGACAACAGAGGATGAAATGGTTGGATGGCATCACCGACTCAATGGACATGAGTTTGAGTAAACTCCGGGAGTTGGTGATGGACAGGGAGGCCTGGAATGCTGTGATTCATGGGGTTGCAAAGAGTCAGACGCGACTGAGTGACTGAACTGAACTGAAAGGCACATTGTCCTTGTAAGAAAGAACTGCTCTTGGCATGTAAGCTAATGACCACACAAGGCCCCTTGTTTCATCCACAGTTTCCTCATGGCGTTTTTCACCTCCACATTCCTCAAGGTGTAGATCAGGGGATTTAACATGGGTGCAACGATGGTGAAGGACACAGCCATTGCCTTGTCTATGGGGTAAGTGACCACAGGCCTCACGTACAAGAAAATACAAGGCATGAAGAACATGAAGACCACCATGAGGTGGGAGCCACAGGTGGAGAGGGCTTTACGCCGCCCTTCAGAACTGTAGGACTTCAGGGAGCAGAGAATGACCACATAAGAGGTGACGAGGATGAAGAAGATGGTGACACACATCACCCCACTGTTGAGGATGACTAAGAGGCCCAGGGTGCGGGTGTCCATGCAGGCCAGTTTCAGCAACGGAAACAAATCACACATAAAGTGATCAATGACGTTGGGACCACAGAAGGGTATTTGATACATGAAGAGAAGCTGCACTGTTGCATGGATAAGTGCTCCCACCCATGACCCTCCCAGCAGTAGGCAGCACACAGGAGGCCTCATGATGGTCTTGTAGTGAAGAGGCTTACAGATGGCCACGTAACGGTCATAGGCCATCACAGTGAGAAGGATGATGCCCACTCCACCAAAGAAGTGCTCAGAGAAGAGCTGGGCCATGCAGGCTTTGAGCGAGACGACAGTGCTCTCAGAGCGGGAGTCCACAATCAACTTGGGGGCAATGACCGAAGAGTAGGTGACATCCATGACGGACAAGGAGGTAAGGAAAAAATACATGGGTGACCTCAGACTCTGACTTGTGACCACAGTTACCACAATGAGAAGGTTTCCCAAAACGGTGGACACGTACATGATTAGAAACACAGCAGAGAGTATTTTTCGCAGCTCTGGGTTCTTTGCAATGCCCAAAAGAATGAATTCCGTCACATTGCTGGGGTTCCCCATTTACTGCGGGCTGATGTAAGCTTATCTCTCTAAGCTGGAAAATCTACAAAAGAGTATTATTCTAAGTTAGTAATTATTACAAATTTGGGATTTTTATTTTTTGGACTCTCTTTCACACCGTCTTGACTTACCTTTCCTTCAGCCATCAGTACAGCAGCTAGCTGCAAACAATCATATCCTGGTAACACCTTGATCCTTATCATTACCCCCTATAACACCTCTAACCAGTGTATCTCTTGCTTTTCTGACACTTGATGCTTGAGACACTTAGAAGATCCTGGTTCATCACCCTGGGATGTAACCATGTGGCAATATGGAGAATTAGCATACCTTTAAGAAAGCCTAGATCGCCAGTTAATAGGAGCCAATGGATAAATGGTAATCAGCCTAGCACAATCTAAGATTCAGTTTTGCTCCTTCCCTGTTTCACTTTACCCTGTTCACTACCTTTATTCTCTTTTCCAAAATGAACTACCTACACACAAGTCCCCTCAGCTGCTGCCTTTTAGGACCTTCAAGCTAGGAAGCTGAACTTAGTGTATCACTGGGCATACCTAGTAACCTCAGAACATTTTATTTCATCTCATTTGTTTCATATTCTTATTGATCACTAGAATGTTCTAGTTTAAGAGCCTGCAAAGCAGGTAGGTCATATCCCAAGGCCTCTCCACTTATTAAGAACTATACCCCAATAATTTCTATATCATAACAATCCAGAGAGGCAAATGCATGCTTCCTGTGCTTATCTTATTCAATAATTCTACAGTAAAATTCAATAATTAATTCAATGATGAGACTACAATGAAGAATAAATTTTTATTATAACTATAATCCGGTCCTGAAACCATGATTTATAACCTTTAACTAACCTCCTGAGATTCTAATTATTTTGCAACAATGCTGATTAAAGAAAACAAAAGCTTAAATCTCTTTCTTTGCTCCAGGAAGACCCAGATTCAACTTGGCCTGCCTCATCCCAGCAGACAAGCCTGAGTCAACATAAATCCTTTCTTCCATTTTTTTTTTCTTGTAAAGGGGTGCACCCAGATAAAGCCAAAGATTCTAACTAATAATAAAAACATTAACAAAGCAACTAATCTGTTTTGCACTCACTATGTGACGAAAGGTGATCGGTCTGCTATTTGCATTGTTACATTTATTTTCATATCACTTGGGACAGGGTACTGTCACAGATCTCATCTTGAGGATGAGGAAATGGAGGCTTAGACACATTGAGCATCTCAGTTAAAAAGAGAGAAAATTACAAATCCGCGTCATCTCATTTTAAAACACAAGTTCTTAGTCTTTGCCTTATACCTCTAAAGAAGTGAATGGTGGCCTCCACTGCTAAACACATTTGTTACCACAGTTGGATGATGAGATGTTAAGAGAAGTGCTTCATTAGCCAAGGTCTCTTTGCTAGGGATACTTAAGCAGAGGCTGTCTTGGTGGACCTCTGTTAGAGATGATTGCTTTAAATGGGGAAATGGGGATGCAAGCTACACAGTTTCTGAGACTCCCGCAAACACATAAGACACACTCTTAGGATTATTGCTCTTACTAAACAAAATTATACAACTTCCAGGACACTCTTTGCAAATATATAGTGTAGATTAACTTCAACCTCGCTCATCTCCAGCCTAAGAACTTCAGAAAATTTTAATAGAACAAATGAAGTATAAAGGACATGTTCTTGGAAATCAGGATAACTTGGTTTTATTCCAGGTTGTCCCTCTCACTCCCAGGTTGTGTTGCTACATTGTTCACTATTCTGCACCTCAGTTTTCTTGTCTAGAGAATGAGGTAGCTATGGCAGCTTATTAGAGAACTGGGGTTCAAAGGAGCCAGCATAGAGGCTCTGTTCCTTTCAAACACAGCAGCTCAGCTCTTTTCTACATAAATGCTTACACTTCCAAGTAATATTTCGTCTGAACTATCTCGTGACTTCAAACACTTTAAAACAAAGCACACTGTACTAGATAGCAATGCCCCTTCTGTTTGAATGTCTGTTGACGGCTAGTCCGCATCTCAGCTTCCTGTTTTGAAATTCAACACCCCTTGCCAAAGTAGTAGAGCTCATCTTTTCCTGTGATTCCCTCCCACTGCCATCAAGCCCATCCCTGTCAGAACACACCCGAGTGTGTTTCGTACAGTGGGAAAGTCCATGAGGTCAAGAGTGAGCAACTTAATTACCCACTGCGATCAGGCCATTTACTGACTACCTGACCTGCGCGTCCTGTGAAAACGAAACAGCGCCACCGCAGTGAGGGGCATTGAGTGTCAAGGAGTTATTATTTGAGGGTGCTGCGCTAAGATCCTTATGATTTTCTTCTTTAATTCTCACAGAAACCATATGGAATAAGACCTAGCATTATCCTGATTTTCCAAAGCAGTGAATAAGACTTGGACAATGTATATAACTTGCTCAAAGCCTCTTGATGCCTTTGTGATTAAGTTGATAGCTCAGGTCACTGACCACAGCTCCTCCACAAACTTTACACCCTGTCTCACAACACTGTCATGAAAATCAAAGGAAGCAACAGGCATGAGAATGTTTGGAGAGCTCTGTCCAAATAGTCATCACGGTTATCTTCCATTGCTATAAGCTCCTGGCCTCCCCTTTATACGCTCATGTCATCTGTTAAATCCATTACTCTCAACTTTCAGCCTCACATCATCTCCCAAATCTCCTGTTATTCTGGATATATGTTATGTGCATCTGTAAAGCTTGCATATCAGAAGTAATTCAAGTATCTCCTTAGTTAGCTAGTTTTTTTAAGAAAATTAACATTTATGAAATAAATTTAAAAATTACGTGGATGCTTAGAGATAGCTAATTTAATCTCTTTCTATCAAATTTTGAATGCTGCTCTCTGTACACTCTGTGTGTGTTAGTCGCTCAGTAGTGTCTGACTCTTTGTGATTCCGTGGACTGTAGTAGCCCACCTTGCTCCTCTGTGCATAGGATTCTCTAGGCAAGAATACTGAGTGGGTAGCCATTCCCTTTAAGACCCAGGGATGAAATCTGTGTCTCCTGCATTGCAGGCAGATTCTTTACTGTCTGAGCCATCAGGGAAATTTTATTGTTAGTCACTAAGTTGTGTTCATTTCTTTATGACCACAAGGACTGCATTGCACCAGGCCTCCCTGTCCTTCACCAACTCCTGGAACTTGCTCAAACTCATGCCCATCGAGTCATTGATGCCATCCAACCATCTCATCGTCTGTCATCCCCTTCTTTGCCTGCCCTCAACCTTTCCCAGCATCAGAATCTTTACTAAGGAGTCAGTTCTTCCCATCAGGTGGCCAAAGTATTGGAGCTTCAACTTCAGCATCAGTCCTTCCAATGAATATTCAGGACTGATCTCCTTTAGGATGGACTGGTTGGATCTCCTTGCTGTCCAAGGGACTCTAGAGAGTCTTCTCCAACACCACAATTTAAAAGCATCAATTCGTTGGTAGTTTGATAGGGATTGCATTGAATCTGTAGATTGCTTTGGGTAGTATAGCCATTTTGACAATATTGATTCTTCCAATCCATGAACACGGTATATTTCTCCATCTGTTTGTGTCCTCTTTGATTTCTTTCATCAGTGTTTTATAGTTTTCTATGTATAGGTCTTTTGTTTCTTTAGGTAGATATACTCCTAAGTATTTTATTCTTTTTGTTGTAATGGTGAATGGTATTGTTTCCTTAATTTCTCTTTCTGTTTTCTCATTGTTAGTGTATAGGAATGCAAGAGATTTCTGTGTGTTAATTTTATATCCTGCAACTTTACTGTATTCGTTGATTATCTCTAGTAATTTTCTGGTAGAGTCTTTAGGATTTTCTATGTAGAGGATCATGTCATCTGCAAACAGCGAGAGTTTCACTTCTTCTTTTCCTATCTGGATTCCTTTTACTTCTTTTTCTGCTCTGATTGCTGTGGCCAAAACTTCCAAAACTATGTTGAATAGTAGTGGTGAGAGTGGGCACCCTTGTCTTGTTCCTGATTTCAGGGGAAATGCTTTCAGTTTTTCACCATTGAGGGTGATGCTTGCTGTGGGTTTGTCATATATAGCTTTTATTATGTTGAGGTATGTTCCTTCTATTCCTGCTTTCTGGAGAGTTTTAATCATAAATGGATGTTGAATTTTATCGAAGGCTTTTTCTGCATCTATTGAGATAATCGTATGGTTTTTATCTTTCAATTTGTTAATGTGGTGTATTACATTGATTGATTTGCGGATATTAAAGAATCCTTGCATTCCTGGGATAAAGCCCACTTGGTCATGATGTATGATTTTTTTAATATGTTGTTGGATTCTGTTTGCTAGAATTTTGTTAAGGATTTTTGCATCTATGTTCATCAGTGATATTGGCCTGTAGTTTTCTTTTTTTGTGGCATCTTTGTCTGGTTTTGGAATTAGGGTGATGGTGGCCTCATAGAATGAGTTTGGAAGTTTACCTTCTTCTGCAATTTTCTGGAAGAGTTTGAGTAAGATAGGTGTTAGCCCTTCTCTAAATTTTTGGTAGAATTCAGCTGTGAAGCCATCTGGTCCTGGGCTTTTGTTTGCTGGAAGATTTCTGATTACAGTTTCAATTTCCTTGCTTGTGATGTAACCCTAACTACCAACGGTATTTTTCACAGAACTAGAACGAATAATTTCACAATTTGTATGGAAATACAAAAAACCTCGAATAGCCAAAGTAATCCTGAGAAAGAAGAATGGAACTGGAGGAATCAATCTGCCTGACTTCAGACTATACTACAAAGCCACAGTCATCAAGACAGTATGGTACTGGCACAAAGACAGAAATATAGATCAATGGAACAGAATAGAAAGCCCAGAGATAAATCCACGAACCTATGGTCACCTTATCTTTGACAAAGGAGGCAAGGATATACAATGGAAAAAAGACAACCTCTTTAACAAGTGGTGCTGGGAAAACTGGTCAACCACCTGTAAAAGAATGAAACTAGAACACTTTCTAACACCATACACAAAAATAAACTCAA